TCGCCGACGGCGCAGCCGACGGCGAGAGAGCCGACGGAGCGTCGTCTCTCCGCTCTCTTTGCAGGTGATCTGGCCTTGGACGTCGAGGACGCCGACCGCTTCGTTTCCAGCTCTGTTGTAAAGGTGGCCATGATGAAGGCCTCGCCCTTCCCGTGCCGGTCTGTACATGGCTGGCGCCATGACTGTTTATGGGAGAATTTGGGAAAAGCTGTTCTCTGCATCTCTCGCTTGACTCCGCTTTCTCCGCTTTGCTTCGCATGGCGACAGGCTGTGGCGGCTTTGGCAAATTGCCAGGTCTCTGCCGTCAAGGCCTTTGCAGACCCTAAGCCCTATCTGGTGAATCCGAGAGTCGCAGGTGGACCTGACCATCCCCAAAGCCATCCTTCTGGCTCTTTGGAGACGAAAGGCCACGGGCAACGTGAACGTCGCCTACCTCATCGAGGCAGTGCCTGTCGAAGAAGCCCATGGCACCAGAAACTTCTTTTGCAGGTGGTGCAGGGCTCGGCCGCCGGCCGCACCCTGAGCCCTGAGCCCTGAGTCCATGGCTGGGCCTAGGCCTGGGCGGCACGGGCAAATGGGCATGGGCACGGGCCAGGCATCGCCGAGCGGATCTCCAAGCAGGACATCAACACCGTCACCGGCCAGGCCGTCCGGGCCGTCCGGGCCGTCCGGGCAGGGGGAGTCGACACGTCCATGTCGGCGCCTGGCAGATCCGTGGGCAGTTGGAAGCCGCCGGCCACCGGCTCGGAGCGAAAGGGAAAAGAGGCGGGGCGAGGCTGTCAGTGTCTTCTTCGAGGTGCCAACTTCACGCTCCGGGCCACCAGCCTCAGTGTCACCATACTGCTGCGACCTCAACTCTCGGTTGTCTCGGCTCGAATGAGAAAAGGCCCCCCCCGTTGCAGGCCTGTGGCCGACCTGGAAAGGGAGGGCCCCGGCCTGAGCCAGAAAGGCAACCAGGAGATCACAGAGAGCCTGTTAGTTCAGTCCAGGCAGTCTCGTGATAGGTTGTGGGATGGTCATCCTCGTCCCTGTAACACCTTGCGGGAAGTATGCCTGTGGCATCGTGATTACAACGTCACGGGTGCAGATCCTGCGCCTTTTTACTTTCAGCTACACTTCGAAGGCTGTCAGCGCCTTGTGCCGGCTGGCAGCACCTGTCAGGCGTTACGAGTGCGGATGCTGAGAAGGCGGTGGGCAGCCTGGCCTTGGCGCCAGCAAAGCCCCAGCCGCCCAGCCTTAGCCCGAGGTCTCGGTGCAGCGCCACAACGCCTCCCAGGCGGCCTCCGTCCAGGCTCCGCGGGGGCTTTGGCCGCTTTAAGTGCTGTACAGCAGCCTTCTGTCTCTCCTTTCGAGGATGCCGTGGTGGAGCCCGTGGCCGACAGCAAAGTGCCGGCACCAGGCGACGCAGGCGAGATAGTGCGAGTGCAAGCATTTTGCATTGAGAGGATATCACACGCAGTCTGAATGCACGTGCACGGCAAAGCATTACATTGCAATGAGAGGATATACCGAACATGTCACGGCTCTGGCTCTGACAGATGCGCCGATGGTGGAGACGGCGCAGCAAGCAGCCCAGGCCACTGTGCAGGGCGCTCAGTGCCGCGCAGCGTGGGCCCCTCCGATTTTCTCTCCCCTCATCACGGCGATCGTCAGGAGCATGGCCGCTGTGCAGGAGGGAGAGAGGGCGTTGCCCATTGAGGGAGAGAGAAAGGAGAAAGGCCCGCCCGGACCCGCAGGAGTCGGAGCCCGAGACCGCGGAGACCGAGACCGAGGACAAGGCCGAGGAGCTGCCCGCTCCACTCTGCTCTGCGCCGTTAAGGACCGTAAAGGGCCGCGCGCCAGCCGCTGGCTGTTGCAGGAGAAGGAGAACGAGGACTCGGATTTGCCGAAGGGCGGCTCGCTGCTTCGCTGTGTCAGCTGGCCACCCAGACCCAGAGAGCGGCGTGCCGCGGATTCTGGACTTGGACTGTTGCGGACTGCGGACGCCGAGGACCCCTCAGCCTGCTCGTGCTCTGGGCAGTCAACTGATTCTCATGCCCCGTTTCGTGGAGAGCCTGGCCGAGTCCAAAACAATTCCATGCAGTGCACGCCTGATTGCAATTCTCGTTGATGCCGCGATGCCGCGAAGCGTCCTGTCGTTGAAGCTTTGAGGATCCCAAGTGCAGAGTAGGAGAGAGAGAGCGGGAGAGAGAGAGAGAGAGGAGCCTCTGCGAAGGCTTAAGATGGAGAAGATCCGCGAGCCAAGAAGGGAGGTGACGGTGAGAGCCTGGGAGCCTGAGAGCCCCCACTGCGGTCCAGAATGGCGTTGGGGGCGTTAGCTCCGTCTCCAACCATCGCGGCCCGGGCCATCGCTTCCAGGCCTTTGCCCAGACCCGTCAACTCGGCGTCTCCCTGCACGTCCCTCTCTGAAGGACACCTGCTGCACCTCCGCCTCCTTTGCTGGGAGAGCTTAGGCCTTGCTGTGGCACTGCCTTGCTGTGGCACTCTCCGTCATGTCTAGAAGCTTCACGACCTGAGATGCGTGCGGCCTGATGCATACGCCACTTTTATCCAGAGTCTCTCTCTGTGACAGGCGAGCTAAGTCGGAGAGGCCCTTTGAAAGGCTGGCAGCTGAGAGCCTTGATCCCCAACCAGTAAAAATGGTAACACAGAATTCATTGCGCCTAGGATGCACGCATCCTAGAACCCCTGCTGTGTCAGAGCTGCCGCTCTTGTGCGGTCCATAAGATCGTTGGCGTCTTAACTTATTATCTACAGCGAATCCGTGCGGCGGTGTGCACCGAGAGTCGACCATTCTGCGCTCTTGAAAACCTCGTGTACACCTTGAATCACAGCAGTATTTGTGGGAAAGGATTTCGAGTGTGTGTTTGGATCCCGCCAGTTAAAGGTGACGCGAGTAAATGCATGGTCCCGAAATGTGCCAGTGCTTGAGGGAAAGCCATTTCGCGCCGGTCCTGCAGTGCTTCACTGTTTGGTGGCTCGCATAAGTTGTTTCCGTCATGACAAGTGCACTGCGCGGCAACCCATCTTCCAGCAAGCTGAATCTACAGATCCCAGTCGCAGATTCTCGAAGCTCTCGCAGCAATGCCGGAGGCTGCGAACGGTCCTTCACATGGTCTGACATGGGCAAATCGGGGATTTGGAAGAGGTGGACGAGTTCGCCCACCAAGTGTAGGATTTGTAGTAATGAATTCTAGAGATGTAGTTAAGTCTATCCTATCCAAGAAAAATCACGACATCTTCGGCTCTTCTATTGAAGTTCAGATATTCCCCGATGTTCCCGGTATGGATTTTATTATAAAAATACATATGTATGTATGTATCTATGTATCTATGTATTTATGTATGAATTTATTTATGCAAATGAAGTTCAGTATAATTTTGATTATGTATTTGTATCAAGCATGGATAAATTAGTAACTATTTTTATTTATTTGTTTTTTATAGAAATATATATTAAGAAATTATCGAGAACTTTCTGAATCAGGGATTTATCAAGATCAACCAAATGCTGCTCATGATCCATTTAAAGTTGTACTTTTATAGATAATAATTAATTATCTTCAAATTTTATGAAGCATTATCATTGCGGCTGTAAAATAAGTTAATCCGGGATCTCCTTGGCGAAGCTTTTCACCCACCCGATCTGGTTTAGAAACTTCCCATCCAGTTCCTGCAGAAAGGGTTCGCTTGAAGCGTGTTTGCGCCGGCACGGGTCTGATAATTGCAAAGGCTGTCTGGGACAAGATCCTTCGCCCTTGCCGCCAGATCCTCAAATCAAGCCGTTTGTGACGTGTTCCGTCGGCTGCAGCTAGTCTGGCAATGTTGCTGTTGCAGTTTTGCCTGTGTCTTGTTGGTGTTGGACGTGGTGAACCGTTGGTCGTGTTGCTGGGCTCTGGCTTGCTTCTGCTTCGTGATGCTGTGGCTCATGTAATCGTCGTGTAATTAGGGTTTAGGTTAATGGTGCACGTTAGCTGTTCACTGCCTGGAATCCCAGACCAAGCCCTCAACAATTTTGGCACTTGGCTTGGTGTTGTTAGCTTTCTCTTTGGGCAGAAGAAGGGTTGTGTCCCTAGGTGCCTTTGGCGCCTCTGCTCCTTCGGCCAGGAGGGGCCCGGCGAAGCCGGTGCAGAGCGCAGGCCAAACCCTAAACTGGAAATTTCAACTCAAACCCAAGTTCAACCCCCCCCGCCCCCATATTGTAAACCTTGCAAGTCACACACAACTCTTCCATGGGGAGAGGCGAGGAAGGCGAAGGCGAAGGAGGCCGCGGCCGAAGCAGAAGCCGATTCCAAGGCGAGACGAAAGTGTGGCTGCCCACCTCGTCCTTAGCCCTCCCCTCTCTTCGCTCTTCCTCTCCCTCTTCCTCTCTCCTCCACTCGAAGCGTCCGTCACTTTGCAGGCCTTGTCGCCAGAGGTGCAGGAGACCTTGGCAAAGGCGGCCGCACGCTCGAAAGCCCGCAACACAGCGAGGCCCGGGCCTCGCACCTTCGGCGACCTCGACTCTCTTAAGCAACAACAGCAGTGTAACAGAAAAAGGGGAGATTTGGGGGGGGATGCCTTTTCTTTGTTGCCTACTTGTTTGAGACGCGGCACCGCGAGGTCCACTGCGCCGCCTTTCGACCCCGCTGCCGGCACCTTAGATCGTAACGTCGTCTCCGGTGCCCTTGCATGGGCTCCAGACGAGACGAGGAAGAGCCCGGCGTCACGGCGCCCCTTGGTTTCTTCGATCCAGCAGGCAGGGCCTGGTGGGGCAGGCAGCAGGTGCCTCCGTCTTTTTCTCGCTCTCCTTTGCGAGGCTTCTGCAGCGGCGTCGACAAGGTGACCCGCTTCCGCTCGGGTCCTGCCTGGTGCTGTTTTGGCCGCCTCCTGATTGGCCAGATCAAGTTCCGACAGCTTCGCACCTCTGAGCTGAAGCATGGCCGCATGGGTCCCGGTGAGAGGTGAGAGGAGAAGAGACGAAGAGCGACTGCAAGGACTCTGGGAGCCGAGGCATCGCGATGCTGGCGGCCATTGGCCTAGTGGGCCAGCCGATGCCCCAAAAAGAGAGCGAGCAGGGGCGGAGCTGAGAAGACGCCAGGCGCAGGGGCCGCAGCGCAGGGGGGTCTCTCTCTTTGAGGCACTACCTGCGCTTTCCCTTGGCCGTCTTCGACGAGCTGCCCAATGGCATCGGCCAGCGAGAGCAGAGAGACTAAGCTTTTGAGATTTTTTGTGCTACAGGTATGGGGGTAGCAATATATGTTGTTTACCATTCCGGGCTAGATCATTCTGATTTTGTTCTTAAGGATTCATTTGGGCACCTGGATATTGGGCATGATCTTCTGTGGGATTATTTGGGCACGTGGATTCCGGGCATGATTTTGTTCTGGATTATCTTAAGGATTCTATATTTGGGCACGTGGATTTCGGGCATGATCTTGTTCTGGATTATCTCATGGATAAGTTTGGGCACTTGGATTTCGGGCGTGACCTTGTGCTACTTAGCTACTTGCTGTAAGATATTAGTTTTGACAGTTGGAGACAAAAAGTGGCATTACCCAGAAATAAACCACCGGGGGATAGAACGAAGAAAGTTTGAGCAATCGCACTTTGGAAGTTCTCAACAACCACAGTGCCTGTGCAAAGCGGCTAGCCTGCATCTCACGAGCAGAATCGAGTGGCTCGCTCGGATCCTCGCCGACACGGTCTCTTCCATAAACAAATCCTCGAACAAATCCTGAGAAGAATCCTGAGCAAAATCGGCAAGATGAACAAATCCTCGAGCAAGTCCGGAGAAGAATCCTGAGCAAAATGAACTCCTAGAAATGACGATTCGCCAAGATGGTAAGCAACTTACAACTGGATTGCCGGTCGGCAGCATGCAAACAAAATCTGAAAAGACTAAGGGAGAGGGAACTGGAGAGAGCAGAGAGACTGCGCAGAGAGCGCAGGCGCCGCCTTCGAAGTGCCCAGACCTCGGCTCTGCGACTGCGAGTCTGCGCGAGCCGAGCCTGCGAGCGCCTAAGAAGGCCAGGGCAGATCGGGATCTTCACGCTCTTCGGGGTGGCGCTGCTGCCCGAGTTCAGCACTCCAGCCGGGGGCCCCAAAAAGCGCTCAGCCGCTCGCGGACTCTGACCGCCCGCGGAGCCGAGGATGCCTCGAAAGAGGTGGGGGACTTTGGAGGTGCAAAAGTGGTCTGAAAAAGATCGACACGGAAAAAAGGAGGGCAGAGCGCTTTTCTCGCTTGCCAGACCCCTTGAACTTCCAGATGCTGACCTTGGGGGCAGATCTCTCAGAGCTCCGGAACCGGGAGCTGAACAATGGCAGGCGGGTCAGGGGGGCCCTCTCTGGGAAAGCCTAATATCGAGTTTTCAGGTTTGCCATGTTTGCGACCTTGGGCATCTTGGCAGCCTGCGTCCCAGCTCCGTGCCCTGTATTTCTGTGCGGCGCGGGCCACGAAGTTTGCCGAGGCGGAGCTGGCAACGGGCAAGGCCGAAGCGTCCAGCCGTGCTCTCTTTGCTCTCTTTGTGCGTGCACGCGCCCCTTCACAGGACGCCGTGGAGCAGCTGGGGCTCGCATAGCGGATCATAGCGGACTTACTGCGAGGGAGAGCGTTTCGAAAGGGTGGCAAATGGCTAATTGCGCTCGTGGACATGTCGCGTGAGAAGGATCTATAGTGAGGCTGAGGCGTGTGGGTTGGGGAGCCGCAGCGCCTCCTTGAGGGCTCAGAAACTGCAGCCAACTGCAGCTGCCATGGGCCTCCTGCGTGTCGCTTGCGCTGCCCGCGCTGCCAGCGCCGCCGCGGCGGCCGGCAGGGCCTCGTCGCTGCCGTTGAGCCTGACCCAGGCCAGGACCCAGTCAGAAAACCTCGCCACGGCCACAAGTCCGCAAGCGCCAGGCCAGCATCAACAGCTTCCCCTTCATTCCAGTGGATTGGGCCAGGGCCTCTCTTGCCACAGCTGGGCTTCAAGGGTTTCTGGAATGGCTGTCGATTCGTGGTTTGCTTCAGCTCTCTTCCTGCGATGCTTCGGGGTGTATTCGGGGTGTATAGATCAGCTGCGCACGCAATACGGCTCGCCGTGCTGCTCATCAGCTGCATCAAAACGGTGTAGCCCGCAATCTGCTTGCACTGAAGACGACATGCACGTCCAACAGCGAGCTCAAGTGGCAAGCGGTGGCAGCAACGCAAAGGCGGGAAGAACACGACTGGCGGCATTTTCGTGATTGTTGATCATGACAAGGTGATGGCTAGAGGGGTTTGAACACTGGAGATGGCAAGAATCATCGGCGCCACTTTGCGCACATGTATCCACTGAAACATCCATGCCAATCCATGCACGGTGTTATCTTGGCTGGCCTTGTCGCTGGCTTCAAAGCAGCATCTTGCTGTAGACCGGGCGGCATGTCCCCGAGTCCCAATCCGGTCTCCCTCGACCTGCCTACACAGCTACTGGAGCTGACGCAGCTGGAGCTTCCTGCCCTTCAGGCTCCGACACCCTTCACAGCTTCGGAAGAGGACAGCGGCCGAGGCGGAGCAAACACGGCGGCAAAGGACCTCAGCAGATGGAGAGCTACTTGAACTCCTATGCCGAATCTATGCCCCGGAGGCTGCGGCTCTTCTCAAAGAACAGATGGTCCACTGGGCTACGGGATCACAGTTTCTATCGACTCCTATCGGGGATGTCGCATTTCCGTCTCGAGGACAAAAAACACGCAATCAGCGGAACAGTTGAAGTTGTAACCTTGCCAGGAAAAATACAGCACCGGCAGGAAAGGAAGAACAGCGTCATGTATTTGTCCGCAGCATCTGACAGGAAGGCAGGGCGGTGCTTGGAGATGGCTTGGGGAAGTTTGGGGATTGACGGTGGCCTTAGGGGAGGCAGGGTGGTGTTTGGACATGGTTCGGGGAGGTTTGCGAGGGTTTCTGTCCTCCATGCGCCTTAAGGTCCTGACGAGAATGGCTCACATTTGCACAGTCTCCTAGTCTAGTTGGGCTAACGTTCGCCAGGGTTGTCTTCTTCTTTGCATGCCGCCGCCTGAACGTGTACAGCTTCCTTGCGAAGGCGCACAGTCCTCTCCTGAATGTTGCAAAACAAAGGCATTTCTTGCAGTGAAACCTAGGCGAGAACATAGTTCAAGGGGCCGACTCAAAGAATCAGGCGGCCTGTGTCACAAGCACACAAGAACTGTTGTCACAAGGACTGTCAGCGTTGCGATGTACTAAGCCTATGGCCTATGGCTGTAATGCAGCCGATACTACGATTCTGGAGCTCGTTTGCGTTTAAATTTCCACATGTCTGTGGTAGAGCCCGCTTTGGCGATGCTTTTTGGCATAAAGGTTCATAAACAAACATGTTCGTTTTGTGTCGTAAAGCAGGATTGATTTTTTTGTGTTTGTGGCTCTCTCAACAGATGGCGATTGGTTTGAAACGCATCTTGTGCGTTTGTGGGTCTAGAGACGCATGGTCACGGAAAGGAAGTTGAATGTGAAACCGACACCCTTCCGTGTTGTCCTTGATACACTCATGGCCGAAATGCTGTGGGCACGTGGATCTGCCAGAAAGATTTTTCCCCAACAGCGTGAACTCTGGGTCTTCAGCCGAAGACGGTTTGGGGCAGATTGGGGCAAGGCCTGCTGAGCAGGTTCCTGAAGGGAACGTTTCGGGGCGGGCTCTAGAAGGCAATGAAAAGTGCTTGAAACTCCAGCGTCCATGAAATATCCTGAAAATTGAGCTTGCGGGACGTGGAGGGTAAAATAGCATCTGGTGATGTGTATTCTCGCCGATGACGTGTAATTCCTTGAAACAGCGTCGGCGTCCACACTCGGGTGATGTGTATTCTCGCCGACTGATGTGAGATAAACCCTACGCTTGTATTGCACATGCTTTAGTTTGGTTTCCAGCGCCCAACATGCACTGTTCAAGGTTCGGAATACGCATTTAGAGCCATTTCAGGGCTTTGCTGGCATTTTCCAAAGCCTGCTAAACGCATGTTGCCCTGGTTTCAACAAGCTCAATGCCGTCCCTACACAACGAAATTCGCACCGAACATGCTCTAACTACTTTCCAAAATGCATTTGTCAAGGCTTGGAAAATGCATTTTTTGAGCTGTTTCAGTTTTGCTGGTGCCCCAACTGCCCGGCATGGACCTTCACCCATCTACAGCTCTGTCAGTTTCTGGTGCCCAACGAGAGCCATTCCGCTGTTCAATGGGATCATTAGGACATGATGGCGGGAAACTGTATGTGAATTTGGCAAGTTGCCCTGGTTAGTGGACCTTGTCGGTCAGACTTGCAGGAGACCATCTTGAGGAAGCTTCAGGTGTTTGCAGCTTGCACCTTCCCAAATGCCGTGATTGAGCTGAGGTCTTTCGCTTCTTCCCATACTTCTCCCGTGACAAAGTGCGTTTCATGCGCAGCTCTCGGCCTTTTCTGTGACTTATCTGTTGAACCTTTCACTATAGACACTGCGCTTCAGGCTGCGCTACGTTCAGATTTCCTTCTTCTCTGGCTTGGGGTGACCAGCGAGACGGCTGCTGCATCGTGTAGTCGCTTTTGTTGGGAGGTACTTCTACCTGTGGTGCCACACACCTTACGGCTGCGACAACTATGACCACTTCGCTGAGAGCCCACTGTACTTGTACGTGAAGTCGCGCCTCGAGGCGGGGAGCGCGGGGAGCGCGGGAGCGGGACTTTCCTGTCTCCTCATCCGTCTCCCTGTCAGAAAAGTGGCCAGCTGGAAGAGAACCTGCGGGTGAAGGTCCACCACTTCTATCCAGTCCAGGCGCTCTCATCGGTGCGGATTCGGCCCATGCTTTGTTCATGGCTCGCACCCGGCGAGGAGTAGCCATGCCCCGCGCACATTATGACAAGGCAGGAGTAAAGACGTTCTGACAAGAAAATCACGATCGGAGAAAGCTGCCAACCTCACGGGTGTTCGAGCAGGCTCAGTGCTCCAACGTAGTGGGAGCCTAGGCCTAATCAAGGAAGTGGTGACGTCGCAGTAGCAGCCAGTCGCGCAGCACCTCGCCGATCCGCCAGCGTCTTCTCCCAGCATGCGGCTCCGTGGGGCAGAGGCCGCAGGTGTAGCCATAGGATGAAAAATATGAAAAACAAGACCGCAGCCAAGCTTACGGAAGCGAAATGATGCAGTGACATGGTCTGTGCCTTAAGCGCATTCTTCTGGCCATCTCGCTGCCTCGCAGCGCTCGCAGCGCCAGAGGTGCTTCAAGCCGTTTGTGTCAGCGGAGGGCACATGTTGCATTGTCGCGTTGTCCTATAGAAGGCGGAAACCGCTTAATCATGGCGACGGCGATAACTTCGCAGCTACTCGAGGAGGAGCAGATCACAGAGATGAGAAACTTGCGTGTGTGTGTGTGTGCTTTCTGGGCGCAGAACTAGGCTGGCCTGAGCTTGGAGTTCCAAGAGGAGGGCGCGCGGCTGGTGGCAGCTTCGCCGCAAGAAGCGAAGCGGGGAGCCTCTTCTCTCTCTCTCTCTCTCGCTCTCTCTCTCTCTCTCGGAAGCAGCAGCAGCACAGGGGGGGGGCAGAGAAGAGCACAGCAAAGCAGGTCCGGGCCAAGGCCGGCCTGAAGCGCAGCGCCGGCGCCGAGGCCTCGCGCCAAACGAAAGCGAGTCTCTTCACATATGCGATGCTTAATGCGATGCTTAATGCGATGCTTAATGCGAGAGAGAGGTCTTTGCTCTTTTGAGGTGGTGGCGGCCTTGCTGAAAGGGGATCGGAAGATCCGGGCCCTGGACCTCCGGCACTCCCAGCTCAACGACAACGGCCCCCCGCGCTTAGCGAAACGGAGCTGGGGAGTTCCTTTGAGTCGTGATTGTGATTGGGCAGCGCGGGGAGGCTTGGCGCAGATTTCGCTGGTGGTTCGCCAGACCGACCAGCTCGAGGCCTGCGAGCCTCCGCGGAGCCTCTGGACCGGCCCCTTCTTAAGCGCGCAGAGGAGCTGCACTGCCATCCCGTGGGCCACACGGGGCTCCAGTTCCTTCTCGGCCACTCGGCACCACTCGGCACACGGGTTTTAAAGGGAGAAACGCTCTCGCTTCTCTTGCTTCTCTCTCCGAGTCTCCGAGGCCTGGTTCGGCGCTGTTCCCGGCTCCGAATCCTCAGCGTGGAGGTGCTCAGGGAGAGCAAAGGCTGAGAAGCGCTGCACGTGTCAGTTTGCGAGGTCTGCGATTGCCCGACGCTTTTCGTCGGCCGACAGACCCTTGCACCAGCAGACTTCGACACGTCCGACTACACTGCCTCTGCCTCAGGTTGGAAGGAGTGTGAAGCATCTGGAAGCTCTGTGCTCTGAGGCGCCGAAGGTGGAGGTGGAGGAGGAGGAAGTTGAAGACCCCGAGGACGGCCGAAGCGCGCTGAAGACCTGCGCGTATTCAACCGGTCGCAGGAAGCCGAAGCCAAAGCCGCTGCCCAGGCGATGGCAGGAGTTGTAACATGGTTGTCCTTGCTCCCTGCTTGGCCAGAGATCAAAGGTGGAGAAGCTGCGGCAGCTCTTTGCAGAGAACGACTACGATTCAGGGGTCCGGCACGTCGTCGCGATGATTTCCGATTTCCTATCGGCAAAACCCGTCTCGTCCCGAGGACGAGACGGCGCCCAAGGAGGAGCTGAGTGGCGCCAGTGGGGTCCGGGGGCCGAGAGCTATTGAAGGGCTGCGTCAGGGGCGCTGCGGCCTGGAGTCTGGAGGGGGGCATGCCTTGAGCTCGAAGTACACTAGAGCAATCAATGCTACTGTCGGCGAAACCAGTGAGCACTGTGGGGGCCTGAATCTGAAGGATCCGAAGGGGAAACCACTAGCAAAGCGCAGCAGGGAGGCTGGGCATTGTGGGGGTTGGATAGGTGGGCTCGGTGGGTGCTGTGGGGCGAGTTGGGCGTGCGTTGGGCTCGAAATAAGCTACTGAGCTGAGCACTGGCAGAGGAAAGAAGGTGGTCACACAGAATTGGGCTCTGTGAGACGCGGGAGGCTGAGAGGGATGGTTGGACGCCGGTGGGCACTGGACACTACTATATGGAAGAGGCAGGGTTGTTACGCAGGGATGAGCGCCTCGCTGGACCGAGTGGTTGGGCACTGTGGGGGCAATGGGAGCCGAACCGGGCTGTGGGCGGTGGGCGTGTGGGCGCTGTGGGGTGTAAGGTTCACTACGCAGAGAAGTGAGGTGTGGGGAGAAGCCGCGGAGAGGGGAAGGGGTTGGACACTGCTGGGCAAAGGAAAACCGGCCCCTGTGAGGCGACTGGGGCGGCGGGGGGGGCCTTGTGGCGGACCGTACCGGTGGGCGCTGTGGAGCATGTGAGGCTTCAATTTGCAGAGGTACACCAGAGGGGTTGGCGGATAAAGAGACGAGACGGAGATGACGGGGCGCAAAGTGCGCTTTCCTTCAGGTGCTGAGGAAGCTACTCCAGGAGCTGGCCGCCGCCGTGAGGCGCTGGCAGCGGAGCGGTGCAGAGCGGACTGCGGGACTGCGGTGCAGAGGGGTGCACGATGGTGCACGTGTGCACTCAGGGAGAGGCCCAGCTTGAGCTCTGTGGACTGCTTCGGTGTTGCTCGGATGCAAAAAAAAGCCTTTAAAAATTTCGAGGTCTCCACAATTCTCGCAGATGCCGCAGGAGATGGTGCCCTGGGACGTGAAGCTGGAGAGCAGGGCATCTGCAAACGCCTGGCCTCATTCCTCTGAGCGCCTACAGCAAGTCCTGCACCCACCCCTCCGTTTTCGTCGCAGGACATCACCAGAGCTGCAGAGGAGCACCAGGCGGAAGCGTCTGCGCACCGAATCCGTTGCCGTAAATCGCGCACTGTCGCGCAGCTCCGATTCTCCCGCCCTTCGGCCTTTCGAAGGCCCAGAAGCAGAAGCGACTCGCCGAGAGCCAGGTGCAGGGTTGGTCATTGCTGCAGGGATGTATGGCTTCAGGGCTCAGGAAGTTTAGGGGTCAGGATTGCACCGATTTTGGGACCATTCGGTTTCTTCCTCGAGGAGGCAGGCTCGCGCACGGCTTCCGACGTCATGAAGGCCCCGTGCACACGAATTGCCTGCAGACTCATTGCAGGCCTGCTTATGGTCGACAGGACCAGATGGCGGAGATCACCTCCATCCTCCAACACGTGCAGGAGAGTCGTAGACGGCCTGCCATCCTCGGCCCCCCTTCGACGATAATCAGACAATGCGAGAGCATTATCAGAGCGTCGTCATTCAATCATGGCAGAGCAGCAGGACCAACTTTTGGAAGCAACTTGCACATCGCACAGTGTGACACAGCTTGACCTTAGGCCTTCGGAAAGGATGTGGTCCAGGGTGTTGGGCAGGAGAGTGGCATCGAGGGCGTTTTGCCTGGAGAGGAGGCCTCGCAGAAGCGCGCAGCCGAGTTTTTAGCCCTTCCATGCTTTGTCGTGCTGGACCTCTCGGTTGTGAAAGCAAGCAAAGGCCGAGCTTCCTTGGAATCCGCTCCTACATCGGACGAAGGCTCCACTCAGCGCTGGGCGAGGCCGCGAACAAAACATCGCGAAGGGTTCTTCCGTGCGAAGCCCTCGAGAGACATAGGATCAAGTACACAGAGTACTATGCAAGCAGGGTACACAGAGTCAAGCGCACAGCGCACACAGAGTCAAGTCCATCGAGCCAAGTACATTCGTAGTACACAGAGTCATGTACATCGAGCCAAGTACACAGAGTGAAGTACATCGAGCCAAGTACATACGTAGTACAGAGAGTCATGTACATAGTACATCGAGGCAAGTACACAGAGTGAAGTACATCGAGGCAAGTACATAGAGTGAATTACATAGTACATCGAGCCCAGTACACAGAGTGAAGTACATCGAGTACCCGACTTATTTACATCTCTCTACACTCTCGACATCTCTCTACATCTCTCTACATCTGGGTATATCTATCTATCTTTTTAAAGCCGGGGCGGCGCCGATGCCATCGATCGGGATTGCAACCCTTTGGGTGGATTGGCGTGGTCGAGCGCACGAACGCGAGGCAAAGTTGCTACTTTTGACATTCCCGCGCAACCCTTTGCGTGGATTGGCGTGGTCGAGTGCACGAACGCGAGGTAAAGTTGCTACTTTTGCAACTTATAGGCATGACGCGCAACCCTTTGCATGGATTGGCGTGGTCGAGCGCAGGAACGCGAGGTAAAGTTACAACTTTTAGGCGCCGCGTGCAACCCTTTGCATGGATTGGCGTGGTCGAGGGCAGGAACGCGAGGTAAAGTTGCAACTTTTAGGCGCCGCGCGCAACCTTTTGCATGGATTGGCGTGGTCGAGCGCAGGAACGCGAGGTAAAGTTGCAATTTTTAGGCGCCGCACGCAACCTTTTGCATGGATTGGCGTGGTCGAGCGTAGGAACGCGAGGTAAAGTTGCTACTTGTGACATTCACGCGCAACCCTTTGCGTGGATTGGCGTGGTCGAGTGCACGAACGCGAGGTAAAGTTGCTACTTTTTGCAACTTATGGATTGGCGTGGTCGAGCGCACGATTAACGCGAAGTAAAGTTGCTAGTTTTTGCAACTTATCGGCGCCGCGCGCAACCTTTTGCATGGATTGGCGTGGTCGAGCGCGCGAACGCGAGGTAAAGTTGCTACTTTTGACATTCCCGCGCAACCCGTTTAGTGGATTGGCGTGGTCGAGTGCACGAACGCGTGGTAAAGTTGTCACTTTTTGCAACTTTTAGGCGCCGCGCGCAACCCTTTGCATGGATTATGGATTGGCATGGTCAAGCGCACGAACGCGAGGTAAAGTTGCTACTTTTCGGTGCCCCGCGGACTGCCGTTGTACTTGCAATACAGGACTTACACAAAGTGAAGTATGCACTTGCCAAGTGCATAGTACATAGTGTGAAGTACATCCAATTAAGTGCATTTACCTCAGTACACAGAGTGAAGGAAATAAGTGCACAAAGAGACTCTATGCATCTATGCACTAGACTATATGACTCTATGTACCTCACCCTATGTATGCACTGGACTATGTACTTGATGACTCTATGCATTTGACTTTATGACATCTATGACTTTATGCACTGGATTCTATGTACTCAAATTGTGCACTTGGTTCTATGAGTTTATGTACTTAACTCTATGATTTTACATAGCGCAAAACTCTTGGCAAATGAAGCTTTCGGGCCACTCGTCTTCTAGGTTTTTAAAAACATTTTTGTGTCTTTTGCGGCTGCTGCTCCCAGAGGCGCTTTTCGAGTGCCAGCGTTTCAAGTCCAAGGAGAACAAGGCAATCCACGCACGGGGAGCGGAAGTGGCAGCGGTTAGCGGTTAGAGCGCTTGCCGAGAGCTCGCGAATGAAGAGGCCCTCAAGACGCCGCAGGGCGAGATGGCCTTCCTGGCCATGTGCGCGGGGGGCGGAAAGCCTCCGTCTGAAAGCGTGGTCGTATACCACGGGAGCGAGACGTCGGCATACGTCGGCCAGGTACCTGCGGAAGATGGAGGCCGAGGCCCAGGCCGAGGAGGTGGCCGTCGAGGCCTAGGCCGATTCGCCTGTCTCTAAACTGAATGCTAAGTAAGCGAAGGCGCTTTTTCTTTAGACTTCGCCCCGGTTAAGCTCCGCGCGTCTCACCCCGCACTGCGACTGGACATCTGCAAATTCAGAGATCCAGAACGAGGGCTCTCCGGGCTCCGAGGGACTTGAGAAGTTGGTGCACATTTTCCGTGGCTGCATGCCGACAGCATCCGACAGCATCCGACAGCCAACATCTTCCTGCATGCCCCTGACTCTTGGCTCGAACTTGAATCCACTTAAAGAGGGGGGAAGGTGACGGGATCTCACCGCGAGAGTTCGCGTAGCTTTCCTTCCCCTCAGAAAGGCGCTCAGATAGTGGGCCCCGGTGGTGCGCTGCTTGGCCGCCTTAAACGGCTGCCGGCTCGTGCCAGGCTCTGGCCCCCGTTTTTGTTCTAATCTCCCGCTTTAACAAGCCGATTGCGGCGACGCCGTGCTCTCTTTCAGGGCCCGGCCCCTTTAGACGGAGAATGACCAACGGCGCGAGCCCCAAGCTGCAGGCTGTCCCTTTCCGGATTTGTTGCGCGAGAGTTCAAGGTGCGAAGCCGCCGTCCACCGTGGCGAACGGCCGGTATCAGATCGAGAAGAAGCTGGGTGCAGGCTGCCTCATCTGACCCTACGTGCAAGCGGAAGTTCATCCCCGAATCCGTGAGTGCCCAGGTTGTTTTGGGGAGGCCATCATTTCTTCTGGTGCTGCAAAGTGGGTCGCTTGTTCTGAGCACTGTGTGCTACGCAGGTCTGGCAGGGCAGGGACAAACAAACCAACGAGAAGGTTGCGGTGAAGTTCGAGGAGGGGGCTCGTGCGCATCCGCTTCGTCCCTCCTTCCCCCGAGCTCGGCTTTCATTAATTACTCGCAGTCCCAGTCACGCTGGTTGGGCGCTGTTAGCCTTTGTCTATTGCGAGGACTCCTCGGGCCATGCGCTGCAGTTGGAACACGAGCAAGCTGTCTTGAAGCAGCTCGGCCTTTCAAAAGCGCTTTCAAGCGCATTGTGTGCCCATGCTACGCCTCTCTCTCTGCCCTTGTCTTCCGTCGCTTAGGCTCATGGCTCAGCCACGTAGGCCTCAAGGCTTTGCAGAGCTCTTTTGGTGCGGACAGGAGGCTGGTGCACGCATGAGTACAGGGTCCTGTGCGTACAGCTCTGGGAGCGCGGCTTTTCTTTCGAACCGCATCTCGCGCCAGCAACGCTTCATGTGCCTGGTCATGGAGATGCTGGGCAAGTCCCTCGAGGATACATTGTATACCATAACGTTTGCACTCTTTGTGGGAAGGAGCCTTGCAGCCTTAATTAGTGCTGCAGGACCGGCTGCAAGGCCTTGGAGGACAAGGAAACCCTCCACGCTTCAATAATCAGCGGGAGCCCCCAGCCATAGTAAAGGCGCCAGCAGAGGGCTTAGTAACTTAGGGCACACCAGAGCCGAGGACAGCGGTCCTCGTTGCGGACCAAGTGCTGCGGCGCATTGAGTACTTGCACTCCAAGGCGCTCGGCTTTTTGACGCAAGAAAACAAAAGGCTAAGGAGGCCCTCACACTTGGATCCGGCGACCCCACGGCCAGGGCATCGTCCATCGCGACATCAAGCCAGAGAACTTTATGTTCGGAATCAAGAGCAGGGCTGGGAGCCACAAGAGAGTCGGTCGAATTGCCATCTCCACGGCGACTCTAGCTCTCAGGTGCACCACCTTTATCTGATCGATTTCGGTCTCAGCAAGAAGTTCGCCGCTTACTTCGCCCTGCGATGTTGGTCATGTGCATCGGGAGTTTGGGTGTTGGAAGGTACTTTGACCAGAAGCATGTAGCGCTTCGGACGCAGCTCAGCCTCACAGGGACGGCCAGGCTCACGACAGAGTCCCGCTGCAGTCTACCATTCATCGGTGGTAGCTCGGAATCAGCCAGGTATGCGTCCATAAATGCCCACAAGGGCGTTGAGCAGAGTAGGCGCGACGATCTGGAGGCAGACACGGCATATCGCTTTCGACCCCGTGCAAGCCAGAGCTAGAGTC